CACACACACACACACACACACACACACACACACACACACACACACACACACACACAAACACTATTTTTCTAATCAGATCAGGCAAGTAATATTCTGTCTTGTCTCTTAAAAAAACAATATATATATATTTATGTATATATATATATATATATATATATATGTGTGTGTGTGTGTGTGTGTGTGTGTGTATATATATAAATATAGCTGCGAGCAGCGATGAAAGGGCCAAAGCCGGCGGCACCGCCACCCCGGTTATAGCGCCACCAACTGGCAGCAGGAAGTCTGTCACTTTCAAAAAGCTTTGAAATCACCTGATTGCTTCAAACTTCACTACTATGATGTAAACACACGGCAGATGAAGACCTGGATGTAGACCTGACCTTTCAGAAGGTTGCTCTCGCATACTTTGTGGTTGACATGTGCCCTCAATGCACACTTTTGCAGAGCCCACACTGATACAAGCTCTACAGCACACTTCTTTTCGACAGTCAAAGCAGGGTTACGTTTTTGCACGTTGTGCACAATAACCCTAAAGGCACCAGGGTGGCGGTGCCACCGGCTTTATATATATATATATATATATATAAATAAATATAGCTGCGAGCAGCGATGAAGGGCCAAAGCCGGTGGTACCGCCACCCCGGTGCCTTTAGGTAACTAAAGGCACCGGGGTTGCGGTGCCACCGGCTTGGGCCCGTAATCGCTGCTCGCAGCTATATTTATTATTATTTTTTTTTTTTTACTACCTTTTGGACACTTTTGGAGGCCTTAACATGCTCAAAAACTCCTGAAACTTTGCACACATGTCAGAACCCGCGGCCATCAGGGCCGGGCTGAAGATGGTACCCGGGCGTGGCAGGGGGGCTCGACAGCGCCCCCTGGAACGGGGTCCGAAAACATGGTCCATAAATCAAACACGCTTGCATGTAATAATATGAAACTCGGTACACATGTAGATCTCCTCGTTTCATATATACTTCACACTCTTACTTTTTACCCCAGCCCAACAGGAAGTCGGCTATTTAGGGTTGTTGGTAAAACACACGCAATGGAATGTGAAATACTCCTCCTAGAGAATTCAAACAAACGGCACGAAACTCGGTCAGCATGAAGTCAAGACATTGAGGATGAAAGTTTGCGAGGGGATTTTTGATATCTCGAACGGTTTGGCCGTGGCGAGGAAACAAAATTATGGCGAGAAACGTGAAACAGGAAGTGCGTTATAACTACTGCATACATTAACTGATCTTGATGAAACTTCAGCAGTGTGATCGCTGTAAGAGGCCGATCACATGGATGTGACTATTGTGAGTCAAAGTTATAGCGCCACCAACTGGCAGCAGGAAGTGTGTCACTTTCTAAATGCTTTTGACAAAAGTGGGGGGGTTAGTTTTATCTACAGTAACAAAACTCGATATGTATATTGTACTCTTCGAGCCGGACAACTTTCTAATTTACCGTAATTAGCTACGACCAACAGGAAGTCAGATATTTTGGTTTGAATGTGGATTTCAGATTCTGAGTTTTTAGCTTCTCCTCCTAAGTAGTTTATTTTATTCATGCCAAACTTTTTCAACATGATGAAAATACATTGAAGATGCTAAATTGTGAACAGATATTGAATATCTCAAACGGTTTTGCTATGGTTGAGGGATTCAAGTAATGTCAAAAAAAGAATCAGGGCATGTCTCATATCTTTCTAAAATGTAATTATACACCATTTATTTTTATATAAAATTATACAAATATTAGAACTAAACCCATTTTATTCCTTTTTTTCAATTTAAGAATTATTTTTAAGTTTAAAAACAGCCAGAATGGTTGTTTAGTCAAAAATAATAATAATCCAAATCATATATAGTGCTATACTGCCCTCTTGTGTTCAAAATCAGGTAGGCCTATTGAATTTATATATATTTATATATTAGGGATGTTACTATGGGAATATTTTCCCACCGGTTAATCAACGTGTGATTGTGTAAACCAATTGTGTAAACCTCCCGCTGGGGGGTTTAAAAACACTAACTTGAAAGCGAAAGTATAATATGGACGTCCGCACGGACATTGAAATGGTGGCGCTCGAATGAATTCCTATGGAAGTAGAAATTAACTAAACGTTCGCTCTGTTCTGCTCGCTCGTCGCCATGGACGCGCACCATTATGAATGCCAGTGCAGCCGCATACTTTTTAGTGTCACTAAAATTAGTGCAATTTCGGGGGCCGATTGCTTGAATTGTGAGTTCAATAGTCTATTATTTTTCACGGAAAACACAACAATAAAAGAGTACAATGACAGATTCGCTTAAATAGGCGTTTTTACATAAAATAGCCTATTCCGTCATCATCTTTTCAGTCAGCTCTTCACTCTCGTGATTAATGAAATTTGACTCCTGTTGCTGATATTTGCTGCAACTTTCGTTCAGCTCACAATTTAGTAAGCAAACACATTTCAAATGTGTTTTTATTTTATTTTTGTGTATGTCTGTGTATATGTATGTATATATATAAATATAGCTTATGTTTCAAATATGAGTTAATTAACAATCGTTGGAAAGAATGATACTTTTAAACATAACACTAAACCGTCAGTAGGTGTCGCCAGGCGACCGTCTTAATGAGCGAGTCATTGATTCATTCGTTTGAACGACTGAGTCATTCATGAATGAGATAGATGTTTATGGATTGATTGGTCATTGAATCTTTGAGTCAACCGATTCGTTCAAAATGCTGAATCATTCAGTAATGAGAACGCGTTGCTGTGAGATGCGCGATGGTTCTGCTGTGATCTTTGTTTAACTATTTTCGCTGCTGAAACAGAAAAAAAGTCAATATTGCATGTAAAATGTAAGTGATTTGACTTGTGTGTGTGTGTGTGTGATTGTGTGTGTGATTGTGTCTGTTACAGTGATAAGAGTTTAACCCTTGTTAAACTTTAGGCCTTGTCTTTTTGGATATATATCTTTTTATATTAAAAAATAGTCATACAACCCATATATTTTAAATGTATTGTTTGCTTTAAATTACATTAAGATTGTATGTTTGGTAATTGAACCTGAATGAATTTTAAATGAATGTGCTATATTTCAGATCATATATTTGTTTTCCTTAAAATTTGAACTAACACTAACTTTATTCTCATCTGAATGATAGATTATTTATTTCTGTATAAAATAAAAACACATTTGATTTTTCTTTTTTAATCAATGTAGAATGTGTAACTGAAAAAATAAACAGATTAGGGCTCTGTTTGATGACAAGAAATGAAAACCAATGCGATATGATGAATGTCCAAAAGATGGCTCCCACAGACTGTTTTTAAATAGGATTGTTTGATATTTTTTGCTTTTAAACTGTGTGTGTGTGTGTAAGAGATTTTGGTTGGGTGACAGTTGTAGTTTACAGTTTGACAAGAGTTTATAGCTTGACAAAAGCACAATGTTGTGTTTTATTGCAAGTGTACACAAATATAAGTAAACACTTTGCAGTTTGAATAATGTCCTGTATGAACAAAAGGACGGAGTATGTTTTTATGACTGCATTGTTCAATTACGCCACACACACACACACACACACACACACAAACACACACACACACACACACACACACACACACACACACAAACACTATTTTTCTAATCAGATCAGGCAAGTAATATTCTGTCTTGTCTCTTAAAAAAACAATATATATATATTTATGTATATATATATATATATATATATATATATATATATATATATGTGTATGTGTGTGTGTGTTTGTGTGTGTATATATATAAATATAGCTGCGAGCAGCGATGAAAGGGCCAAAGCCGGCGGCACCGCCACCCCGGTTATAGCGCCACCAACTGGCAGCAGGAAGTCTGTCACTTTCAAAAAGCTTTGAAATCACCTGATTGCTTCAAACTTCACTACTATGATGTAAACACACGGCAGATGTAGACCTGGATGTAGACCTGACCTTTCAGAAGGTTGCTCTCGCATACTTTGTGGTTGATATGTGCCCTCAATGCACACTTTTGCAGAGCCCACACTGATACAAGCTCTACAGCACACTTCTTTTCGACAGTCAAAGCAGGGTTACGTTTTTGCACGTCGTGCACAATAACCCTAAAGGCACCAGGGTGGCGGTGCCACCGGCTTTATATATATATATATATATATATAAATATAGCTGCGAGCAGCGATGAAGGGCCAAAGCCGGTGGTACCGCCACCCCGGTGCCTTTAGGTAACTAAAGGCACCGGGGTTGCGGTGCCACCGGCTTGGGCCCGTAATCGCTGCTCGCAGCTATATTTATATATATATATACATATTTTCAATTGCAACTGTATATACACTGCTGTTCAAAAGTTTTGGATCGGTAAGATTTTTAATGTTTTTGAAAGAAGTCTCTTCTCCTCACTAAGGCTGCATTTATTTGATTGTCATATTTAACAATAATTTTTTGTATTTTTAATGAAAATCATCTATTTTCTATGTGAATATACAGTAAAGTGTAATTTATTCCTGTGATCAAAGCTGTATTTTCAGCATCATTACTCCAGTCTTCAGTGTCACATGATCCTTCAGAAATCACTCTAATATGAGGATCTGATGCTCAAGAAACAGTTATGATTATCAATGTTGAAAACAGTTGTGTACACATATTTTTTGCATGATTTTTTAATGAATAGAAAGTCCCAAAGAACAGCATTTATCTGTTTTGTATTTTTAATAAAACAAATGCAGCCTTGGTGAGCTTTCAAAAACATAAAAAATCTTACTGATCCAAAACTTTTGAACAGCAGTGTATTTATATACACACGTCTAATCCACAACAATAATAATTTTTTACAGTGTAACTTTGTCAAAACACTTCCTAACTAGTGAAGTGAGCATAATAATGCAATTGCAGGAACACGCCTCGTATCTGTCAGCCAATGGGAATCCAGCATTCAGCAGTGTAAGCAGAATTCACTCAGTGCTTGTGTTAGTAATATGTTTTTTTGTTTCTTCTCCAGACTGTGAGCCGTCACTTCCGGAATATTCCAGTCAACGAGAAGGAAACGCTCACATACTTTATTTATATGGTGAAGAGCAGTAAAAGCCGGCTGGACCAGAAGTCAGAAGGAAGCAAACAAGTGGAATAAGATCTCGGATACACACGCGTGTCTCGACTCATGTTAGCTGGCTTTACATCCCTGTTTGAATGCTTTCTGTGCAGACGCTGTGTTTTCTGTACGTATGTCCAACATCAGGTGACATTATGGGAGTCACTGCAAATAAGTGCAGAATGATGATGATGGAGGGTAACCGCTTCAACTTCTGTGCCAAACACCAATAAAACCACCGCTGTTTGAGTGACGAACATCACAGAGAGGACCTGAATGAAACCACGAGAGACACTGAATGACTGCTAATGCCAAAACTCCCAGAAGAGCCGGTTTCCTTCATACTGCCGTAGAGGGTTTTGTTTCTGTTCTTTTGCTTTCAGCTCCGTGTCTCTGCTTTTATATGACTGCTGTATATCTGCTCTTTATTGCATTTTTTGTAGATTGTAATGTTAGTTTTCTTCCTTTCTTTGTTTGAAATAATCAGAGTAAATACAGTTCTTGTGGCACTACTAATATTTTCGTTTATTATTTTTTAAATGCATTTCACCTGTGGCATCTCACATGATCGTGTGTGTGTATTAGTGCCGTCAAATCGATTAATCGCGATTTATCACATTTAACATAAGTGTGTTTGTGTATATATTTTATACGTGTGTGTATATATATATTAGAACACATTACACATGCACACTTGCACACACTTTATATAAACAAACTTTTATGTTAGATGTGATTTATTGATTTGATGGCACTAATATATATATACAGTATATCCAGAGATAAGTCCAATCATTGGGGAATATATGATTGATTCACATTTCAAATAAATGTGAACATGAGTTGCTTATGGGTCAGTGACATAAGAAGTAAAAACATCACAAATTAACACCTTTTCACCTGACTGATTGCACCTGCAGTAGGGGGCGTGTCCAGTCATGATGGGGAGGAGAGTGAGCCAATCAGCAGTAGGGGGTGTGTCCTCTTGTGATTGGGAAGGAGAGAGTGAGCCAATCAGCAGTAGGGGGCGTGTCCTCTCGTGGTTGGGAAGGAGAGAGTGAGCCAATCAGCAGTAGGGGGCGTGTCCTCTTGTGATTGGGAAGGAGAGAGTGAGCCAATCAGCAGTAGGGGGCGTGTCCTCTTGTGATTGGGAAGGAGAGAGTGAGCCAATCAGCAGTAGGGGGCGTGTCCTCTCGTGGTTGGGGAGGAGAGAGAGTGACGATAGGCTAATTTATTCTGCGCAGCTTCTCCAGAGCGGCTCACGAGCTCTGATGACACAACTGTTCCACGATTGGCCGAATCCACCACATGACAACGATAACGCGTGTTTTGTGTTTGTTCTCACACCTTCAGTTCCACTAAAGCACACAAATCTGTTTTTTAAAACAGTAAAATCTCTTTTCATGTAGTGGCAATGTTATGTTGTGTCATGTTTATCAAAATAAAAAGTAGAAGCAGATAATTAGTTCTATAACTTTTGTGGGGGAAAAAACAATTCTGGAGCATTGCAAGAAAAAGCCTTTCAATGGTTTTAGGTTTACAGAGAGGATAATAGAGAGACAACCAGCAGAGCGGAGAGAACAGGAAGGTATGGATGGTGTACTGTAACCAAATCACAAATGTAAACTGGAGACAACTTTATAAGTTAAAATAAGAACCAATGCGTGCACTGGAAGCCAGTGCAGTTGAAGAACCACAGGCGTGAAGATTTGTAAGTCAAGACACAAGTAGCTGAATTTTTGTATTTATCGCAACCAAACAGAATTTGATGGTAGACCCTGAAAAAAGTAAATGACAGTAATCAAACCTCCTTTATGTAATAAAGGCATGAATAAGCCTTTTTGCATCGGGCCTTGAAAGAAAAGATCTAATATAGACAATATTGTGAAGACACTTTTTTTTTTTGGAACATTAAAAATCACACCCAAATTCTACACCTGGACAGAAGGGGAAATTAGGCTATTGTCCATGGCAAGATTTAAGTTCTTACACTTGTTAACATTAATTGAAGTGTCAATTAACAAAATATCAGTTTTAGAACAATTTAAGAAAGTTATGTTTCATCCACGCCTTTATTTCCAGCAAACAAGCAGAGAGTTAAAGAGCAGAAGTGAAATCAGGCTGAGTGCTAATATAAATCATTTCAGGTTACGAGTGTAACCCTTGTTCCCTGAGAAGGGAACGAGACGCTGTGTCAAGGACTGTGATGGAGACCCAATGTTACTTCTCTATCCCTCAAAATTGTGTCCTTATTGTTAATAATAATAATAATTCATTATATTTATATAGCGCTTGTCTTGGCACTCAAAGAGCTTTACATGGAAGGGGGAATCTCCTCAACCACCACTAATGTGCAGCTCCACCTGGATGAGGCGACGGCAGCCATATTGCGCCAGAACGCCCACCACACACCAGCTTACTGGTGGAGAGGAGACAGAGTCATGAAGCCAATCAGTATATGGGGATGATTAGGAGGCCATGATGGACAGAGGCCAATGGGCAAATTTGGCCACTATGCCGGTGTTACCTACTCGTTTCGAAAGACTTCTCAAAGGATTTTTTTGTGACCACAGAGAGTCAGGACCTCGGTTTAACGTCTCATCCGAAGGACGGTGCAGTACAGTGTCCCCGTCACTACACTGGGGCGTTAGGACCCACACAGACCCCAGGGAGAGCGCCCCCTGCTGGCCTCACTAACACCTCTTCCAGCAGCAACATGGTTTTCCCAGAAGGTCTCCCATCCAGGTACTGACCAGGCTCAGCCCTGCTTAGCTTCAGTGGGCAACCAGTCTTGGGCTACAGGATGATATGGCAGCTGGCTTTATTCTTTATATCATGCATCATAATATAATTGTTCATGTGGGTTTTTTAGTGTTTTATTTCCTGTTGTTAGAAGAGTGGGCCTAACCTCTAGGTATGTGCACACCCTGGGAGGCCGTACAATTATTATTTAAAATTAACTAATTAAGGACATATCAGTTGTGCAAATTACAATATTTATTGAACAGAGAGTGGTTTGGAGCTTAAGGCAAAGGTGTTAATGCTGCTTGAGCATGAGAAACTTCAGTCTCCAACAGTTAGTTAAAGAAGTTAGTGCTAGGTTTAGTACGTCAACAGTGCTTGTTTTTAGACAGTTTTTGTATCCTTTTTTTTGCTCTTATCCACTGTTGTATGGATCTTTTGCACTTCCTTGCCTTTAAAGGGGTCATCGGATGCAAAATTCACTTTTATATTGTGTTTGCATATAAATGTGTGTTTGCAGTGTGTGGACACAACCACCATACAATGAAAAAAATCCATTCACTCCATCCTTTTTTTAATCCTTCAAAAGTCTAAACACTCTCAATAATCAAGCCGTTTGGATTTTCTAAGCAATATGTCATATTGCTCATGCTCCGCCCAACACCACTGACGGACTGTCCCATAATAGCATATTTCCGCCCTCAGCCATTTGTATACTGTCCACCAAGACAGCACTTTATGTGCCTTGTGATGACGCCCCCAATGGAAGAGAAGGGGGGTGGGGGGGTGAGCAGTTTCTCATGATCATTTAAAGAGACATGCATCGAAACGGGTCGCTGTGAACAGAGCTATTTTTGAGGATGTAAAAAGGGTGTTTTTTACACAACCATTAAGGAATTTTAACCAAAGTATGTTACAAACATTACATTAAGACCCTAAAGAATAATACCAACTTGTGGAAAATGGGCATCTGATGACCCCTTTAAAGTATTAAACTTCTTTAGAAACAACCTTTAAACGGATGCCTGGTGTGATTCTCCTTGTGACCGCTCTGGTCTCTATGACAAGGACACTTTGGGAAAACCTCTGCTTGATCGCGTCTGAAGCACGTTTGTCAACTCAATCCAATGGCAAGAGTGAACGTTACAGGCGGGTGACGTCATGACCAGGAAAGCATAAAAGCACATCCAGAATGGCCAGCGATACCTTCAGTTTGCCGAATTAAGTCGATCACAGGGATGAAGAAAGTGTGGCAGGATGCTGCAGCATCTCGTTCCCATCTCAGGGAACAATGGTTACAGTCGTAACCTGAGACTTTCCTTTTCGAGGGAACCCGCACTGCGTCAAGGATGCTTTGAGAACAACAAGGCCCAAAGGCCATGCTTACAAGTGCCTGTCTGTGTGTTATGTTCTGTTGTTTATCTGGGGAAAGAGAGACCTCTTGTGGTGGCTCCTAACGTAGCGTAATGTTTACATTTTACTAGTAGTTTGCGTCAGTTCTATGGCTCTCAGGTGAAGTAAACGGTCTCATATTTTTTCTCTCTCGATTTCATTTGGCCTGAATAAACGTTTGCCTGTAAGTACGAAGTCATTCAGTTATCTTGACATCTAGCACTAAGAATACTAGTAGCGAAATACTTTAATGCAGTGAGTTCGTTCTAAATGTGTATTTTGATCACATATGCTAAACATTAGCTTCGTAATGTAATTTCCCATTGAAGTTAACATTATGCTAGCGCATTTGTTTTATATGTTTTAATACACTATATTTCAATATTGTTCTTCAACAACTTCTGTATCCGAATGAAATTCTGAAATGTATTGTTCTTTGCAGTTTTACAGTGCTCTCTGAGTAAAGTTTGGAAAGGATACACAAGCTTCATTCTTTGTCTTGGGGAAACTGTTAGCTATCTGCCGAGCTGATGTAACAGGCTAGGCCGTGCCATACACACACAGAAGCGGGGGCAGAACACTGTGTAAATACTGAAAGCACAACTAAGATATGACCACCTGTAAACCTGGGACACACAAGGTTCAGCTTTTCCTGGTCATGATCTCTTAAGGGAGGAAGGCAGAAGGCTTGCAAAACAATAGCCCGGCTTTGGGTAAAGGAATGCCTTGACCATCCCCGGTGCGAAATCAAGAAACGTAGGGGAACGACAAGGCCTGGAGATCTCCTTCTCTTTTAAGAGAAGTTATGGCTAGAAGAAACACTGTCTTTAAGGTCAGAACTTTTTCTGAAACAGTCTCAAGGGGTTTGAAGGAAGCCGTAGATAATCCTTCTAACACAATAGCCTGGTCCCAGGCTGGAACTCTGGTATGAATTGCAGGCCTCAGCCTCGAAGAGCTACAGGAGAAACGTGTCACCAATGGGTTTCAACCCACAGATGCGCCACCCAAAGAGATACGATAAGCAGCTTTGGCCACCATGTACACCTTCAGTGAAAATTATCTTGCAGAAACTCTAGCACTGAAACAACCAGGCAGTTTACTGGATCCCACTGCGATCCAGTAAAGAAGCGAAAACTCCCCACTTCAAGGCATAAGGTTTACTTGTGGATGGAGCTCTGGAATAAAGTATGGTCTCAACAACCTCAGTTGAGAGACCTGGGTCTATGAGTTGGCCGCATTAGAGGCCAAACCCACAGGTTCCATATCTCTGGGCGGGGGTGAAGGACCGTGCCACCCGCATGAGACAGAGGGTCCCTACTGACTGGAATCCCAAGGGAGAGCCTTCGAGCAGGGACACTAGGTCAGAGAAGCACACTCGCCTCGGCCAGTATGGCGCTAGTAGTATTAGACTTATTCTATCCCGGCTGACCTTCTCCAGAACTTCTAGGAACAGAGCAATCGGGGGGAAAGCATACAGACGTAGCCTCAGCCATATCTGTACCATGGTATCCACCAAGGCTTTCTCCATATCTCCAAGGTTTTCACAGACACCTGCACATGACCTTGATCATATGAAGTGGGTTCCCCCTCGGGGAAAACCCCTTGGTCTTGAGCCACCACTGCAATGGTCAAAGCAGTGCAAAAGGTATCACGTTGGATGAAGCTGCCATCAGACCCAACAGCCTCTGAAACTGTTTTACAGTGGCTATGTTTACATGCACAACTTTTGTTACATTCGGAGTTAATTAATTCAGATTGATGAATCTGAATGTAGTTGTGGTGAGGGGGGCATGGTTTAGCGAGGTCTGTGACAGGAGAGAGCCGGGAGACAAGTGGTGCGTAAGTGGGTAAAGTTTAAATGACAAACACCTGCGTCTTGTTTCAGTAATTGGCATGGAGAGACTGGATAAAGACCAAGGGAGAGAGAGATGAACTGAGTCTCAGTTAAGCTGACCATGTCCTCTTTCTTCCTTATTATTTGAACGGCTCTGCAGGTAGGACATAATTTTTGTCTAGAAAAACCTGGTCGTTAACAAGTGGGTTGTCAGTTGTCAGTCCAATGCGCTTAACAAAACAGGTTGTCAGTGGATATTTAACGTCACGCCCAACATGTAAACTCAACTACTCACTAGCTATCTCAGCCTAATTTTTGTTTATAATCACAAATGCAATACACAACAACTCTGAACTTCTCCAAGGGTTCCCCTTGTCAAAAACAATCAAACTTCACTACTAACTTTAGATTAAACTACTTTAATAAAGGAAATTCCATATTTTGCTTAGTCGAATATCAAATTATTTACAAGTCATTGATCATCTGAACATGAACATTTGCTCATTTAGACACCTTCGGGGAATGCTTTTTCTTATGCTCCTGTAGACTAGATAATCCAGAGAAACCCTTCCCACATGAAGAGCATTGGTGCGGCTTCTTTCCGGTATGAACTCTTTGGTGTCCTTTTAAGCCACTGGATGCAGTGAAGGTCTTCCCACAGAGTGAGCACTTGTACGGTTTCTCTCCAGTATGAACTCTCTGGTGTCTTTTTAAGCAACCGGATGCAGTGAAGGTCTTCCCACTGAGTGAGCACTTGTACGGTTTCTCTCCAGTATGAACTCTCTGGTGTCTTTTTAAGCCACCGGATACAGTGAAGGTCTTCCCACTGAGTGAGCACTTGTACGGTTTCTCTCCAGTATGAACTCTCTGGTGTCTTTTTAAGCCACCGGATACAGTGAAGGTCTTCCCACTGAGTGAGCACTTGTACGGTTTTTCTCCAGTATGAACTCTCTGGTGTCTTTTTAAGCCACCGGATACAGTGAAGGTCTTCCCACTGAGTGAGCACTTGTACGGTTTCTCTCCAGTATGAACTCTCTGGTGTCTTTTTAAGCCACCGGATACAGTGAAGGTCTTCCCACTGAGTGAGCACTTGTATGGTTTCTCTCCAGTATGAACTCTCTGGTGTCCTTTTAAGCCACCGGATACAGTGAAGGTCTTCCCACTGAGTGAGCACTTGTACGGTTTCTCTCCAGTATGAACTCTCTGGTGTCTTTTTAAGCCACCGGATGTAGTGAAGGTCTTCCCACAGAGTGAGCACTTGTACGGTTTCTCTCCAGTATGAACTCTCTGGTGTCTTTTTAAGCAACCGGATGCAGTGAAGGTCTTCCCACTGAGTGAGCACTTGTACGGTCTCTCTCCAGTATGAACTCTCTGGTGTCCTTTTAAGCCACCGGATACAGTGAAGGTCTTCCCACAGAGTGAGCACTTGTACGGTTTCTCTCAGGTATGAACTCTCTGGTGTCTTTTTAAGCCCTTGGATGTAGTGAAGGTCTTCCCACTGAGTGAGCACTTGTACGGTTTCTCTCCAGTATGAACTCTCTGGTGTCCTTTTAAGCCACCGGATGCAGAGAAGGTGGCTTGTGTGGTTTCTCTCCAGTATGAACTCTCTGGTGTCCTTTTAAGCCACCAGATGTAGTGAAGGTCTTCCCACAGAGTGAGCACTTGTACGGTTTCTCTCAGGTATGAACTCTCTGGTGTCTTTTTAAGCCCTTGGATGTAGTGAAGGTCTTCCCACTGAGTGAGCACTTGTACGGTTTCTCTCCAGTATGAACTCTCTGGTGTCCTTTTAAGCCACCGGATGTAGTGAAGGTCTTCCCACAGAGTGAGCACTTGTACGGTTTCTCTCCAGTATGAACTCTCTGGTGTCTTTTTAAGCCACCGGATACAGTGAAGGTCTTCCCACAGAGTGAGCACTTGTACGGTTTCTCTCCAGTATGAACTCTCTGGTGTCTTTTTAAGCCCTTGGATGTAGTGAAGGTCTTCCCACTGAGTGAGCACTTGTACGGTTTATCTCCAGTTTCTCTTCTGTCCTTTTAAGCCACCGGATGCAGAACTCTCTGGTGTCTTTTTAAGCCCTTGGATGTAGTGAAGGTCTTCCCACTGAGTGAGCACTTGTACGGTTTCTCTCCAGTTTCTCTTCTGTCCTTTTAAGCCACCGGATGCAGAGAAGGTGGCTTGTGTGGTTTCTCTCCAGTATGAACTCTCTGGTGTCCTTTTAAGCCACCGGATGTAGTGAAGGTCTTCCCACAGAGTGAGCACTTGTACGGTTTCTCTCCAGTATGAACTCTCTGGTGTCTTTTTAAGCCACCGGATGTAGTGAAGGTCTTCCCACAGAGTGAGCACTTGTACGGTTTCTCTCCAGTATGAACTCTCTGGTGTCTTTTTAAGCAACCGGATGCAGTGAAGGTCTTCCCACAGAGTGAGCACTTGTACGGTTTCTCTCCGGTATGGACTCTCTGGTGTCTTTTTAAGCAACCGGATGTAGTTAAGGTCTTCCCACAGAGTGAGCACTTGTACGGTTTCTCTCCAGTATGAACTCCCTGGTGTCCTTTTAAGCTACCAGATGTAGTGAAGGTCTTCCCACAGAGTGAGCACTTGTACGGTTTCTCTCCAGTATGAACTCCCTGGTGTCTTTTTAAGCCACCGGATGTAGTGAAGGTCTTCCCACAGAGTGAGCACTTGTACGGTTTCTCTCCAGTATGAACTCTCTGGTGTCTTTTTAAGCCACTGGATGCAGTGAAGGTCTTCCCACAGTCAAAGCACATATAAGGTTTCACCCCAGTATGAATACGCTCATGCAGTTCTAAAATTTGCAGATATATAAAACTCTTTCCACACAAAGAACAAAAGTGAGGCTTCACACCAGCATGAACTTTGAGGTGTTTTCTTAAGCTTGATACCCCAACAAATGTTTTATCACACTGATCACAGCTGAACGATTTCACTCCAGAGTGAGAGCGCAGATGATCTTCGAGATTGCTTTTGGTTGTGAAACTCTTTCCACACTGAGTGTATGTGAACGGTTTTTCTCCAGTGTGAATAATCATGTGTTTTTTTAGGCCTTCTTTCCGAACAAAACTCTTTCCACACTGAGTGCATGTGAACGTTTTTTCTCCAGTGTGAATAATCATGTGTTGTTTTAAGCCTCCTTTCCGAATGAAACTCTTTCCACACTGAGAGCAGGTGATAGATCCTTTGACTCCAGTTTTTCCAGCTTGTTTCGGTGTGAAACTCTTTTCAGTCTGTGAAACAACAGTGTTTCCATCTTCAGGTTTTTGAAACCGATGGTGTTTGTCTTCATTCACTTCCATTGAGTCTAAAATATTAACATAGAGCATTAAATTCTCAAAATTCAAATAAATGAGGACAAATGTGAAGATAGATATAAAGAGGAAGTTTTAAAAGTATTTTTATTAAATGTATTTTTATTTTTTAAATGTTCTTTAAAAATGAAAACAATGAGTTAACCCAAAAAGTACCAGTTTTAAGTCAATTTAAAACGATGCCCGTATCTTCACAGACTTACTATACCATACCATCAATTGATGCGATTATACAAATACTGTATTTGACGCATACGAAAAAAAAACGCATACGAAAATTTCGGACTCAGTGTGCAAGGGCCTTAAGACTGAACGCTTGCACAGCTGGTCGCGCGGCGAACACAGTGGTGGCTAACTGTGGTGGCAGGCCCATTTCCCCAGGGGGAGGGGGCGTGGCCCATGAGTGATATTCCCATGGCCACGCCCCCTTGCCCGAGGTGTTTAAACCTCCCCTAAGTATTATAATATGAAAGGCTCCAATAGGAGCGGCAAATCGATTATACGCTTCCCGTGCGCAGAATGATGCACTTGAAGCAACGTTAAGTCACAGCGTGCAGCTTTTCAAAGCGAAGAGATTATATCTATCTATGCTTAGTGTATTCTATCTATCCAACAGTTTACTGAGCCTTTTCTTTTAACGGTTTATTGTGCCTTTTCTTTTAACAGTTTTAAATTTCAGTTACAGTGCGTATGAAGAACAATTCATAGCGCACTCTACTCCAGTGCTGTTATCGAACAGACACCACAGACAACAGACGGGAGAAAGGAATGTGATTTAGAAAGGGCGATAAACTCCAGCAAGATAACGTCATTTTATGCAAACCATAAACCTTTATCTACAAATAAAGAATAATAATGGGAACATTGATCTTGACGAGAGTGTCGTCGTGTTACTGTCGTAACCGAACGTGACGCACTGTTTGAATGCTGAATGGAGAATGACTGAGGAGAGATGAGTTAATATTCATTTTACCTCACATTATGCTATTGAATGACTTTAGAAGTCTTGGAATATAGTGCGAAAACTTTATTGTGCTTTACAATATTTTTTATGCCTTTAGTGGGACTTAACAAATTACACAATAGTATGCACAAAATCGGACCTCACTGAGAAGCTGCCGTGGTGGGATGATTTTTAAGTGTGGCAGCCCACCACGGCAGAATGAATGTAGCAGAAAAACTGAAAATTGTTGATTATTCCCTTGGAATTGTAATTGCGATTATTAACCCTCTGGGGTCCGCAATCACGCCGGCGTGATCTGCTCGCTTTTTTTCTTATCAGTGCAAAAGAGACTCAAAATACTCAGTTGATTTTGATCTTACATTTAAGTGTTATACATCATTAGATCCTGTTAAGTTTCTATTTTTTTTGTGGATACTCACAATAAAAACAAAGTGTTGTGCTTTTCACCAAATAAAGAAAAACAAACATGATGCGAGTTCTGCGTTCTCTCTGTCAGTGAAGTCCATTCTGAAACGCGTCCTAAGATTAACTGTAACTCCGCGAATACTTGTCACACAGGCACGAGAGATTTTTCTTTATGAAGCTTGAATTCTCTTCTTTTAAATGAAGTAATTTATATAAAAAACAAATATTCTCAGTTTATGCAATCTGTATGAAAAGAGAGTGCTGTCAGTATTTTTTTCCCCAGCTCATTACACTTCATTACGCGTTAATCTGACACGCCCACGGAGGACGCGCGCTATTCAAACGCAAATGTGAGGCAAGCCATGACAATGCCCACATCAGCCGTTCCACCGCGGCGGTAAAATGTGTGGTGTATTTGCTGCCTTTTACCGCTAAGAGGCGCTACAATCATAAAAGTGTTCGTTTATTCCGGTTTATTCTCCCTAATGCGTAATCTGCTGCCGCACCGCGCTGATTCAGAGCGATTGAAAGCTGGTAGCAGAAGAATTCAACAAGTGAAACGTAGTTAAAATAATTCATAATCACAATACTGAATAGTGTTGTCACGATATCAAAATTATTGTTTCGATACCGATACCAAGTCAAGAATTGCGATTTCGATACTTTTTCGATACTTTTCCTGAAAAGGGAGAAACACTCAAATATCCTTGCTGTGCTTTATTTTAAAACTGGGACAACATTCCAATTATAACACACTAATAAATGAACATATGAACAGCAGCAGATAGGCTATATTAACCATTTGAACAAAATATGAAAAATATAAAAAATACATTAGAGCAGCATTATCTCAGTTATCATAAGAAACATAAGATTTTATCAATATCAATGCCATGACGATTCTGCTTATCGATCAGATTCTTTAACGATTCTCTTATCGATTCATGATAGCACTGTGTGGAAAAAAGTAGTCATATGCTTTTTCGGGGGGAAAAACAAGTGTTTTTATTTGTTTTATGTAATTTATGTGATAAATGAACTCTTATTACGAAGTGTTAACGATTAGTTATACACCGATTCAGACAGATCAGTTGTTTTAACCATTCATTAAAACGAATCGGTTCAAATGAGTCATTAGTTCGCGAATTGGACGTGTCATTATCGGACTTGTGCGCGTTGTGTGATTATCCAGGCGGTTAGGACATCCCACTGTCATCACAGAAAACATTTCATGACTGGATAGTTTTTTTCGTTTATTTAAAGTGTGGTTTATGTCAGCTGAATGTGCGGATTGATTCAGAGAAGATAAGGCAACGTATTTTACCACAATTTACACCCAGCAGTAATTCAGGGAAAAAAAAAACTCCGAATGCTCCACATGAAACTTTAGTCTCCCGACCTTACCGTCGTGTCGAATTATTTTGATTAATATGTGCGAGGGAGAGAGAGAGGAAGACAGCGCTTAGTTTTGAGACGGTGAAGCCTTGATTATACTTTCGCCTGGCTCCGCAGAGAGAGAGAGAGTGCGCGCGCGCGACCGGGGCTCGCTCGCTCTCTCTCTCTCTCTCTGCTCGTTCAGTTCACGCGCCCTGTCACACGCGCATGAGGAGAAAAACACAGACGTCCATAGGGAGGCACTGGAAGCGTGCGTTGCACACACCAACATGCAATACTCTCTTACAAATCTGGAACGCGGTCATTCTTAGAAGTATCGATACTAATAAATTTAGGTATCGTGAAGTTTTTAATTTCCGAGTATCGCGATACTTTTGAAGTATCGGTGCACCGTGCAACACTAATACTGAAATTAGGCTACTGAAATGTAATTGAATAAATAGCTAATGAAAACATTTCAACATAAAACATTGCAATAAAAACATTTAGGCTACATCAATGAGGCTTTACAACTTTATCAGCATACAGACGGTAGCTCAGTGATCAACGCAACAACACGAGCTTCGAGGAGCTTCAATCCACCCGAGATCGAATCTCAATGTAGCATACATGTTGTTAACCGATGTTGTCCTACAGCGTTTATATTTTACCACCTTGATGCTTAAATAGTAACTGTTTATAACTGTTTACTTATTTAAAGTCAAGAGTTTTGTTTAATTATCATTACAACATAAATTTGCTACATTCCTGTAGAACCGCAGCCGCTGCACAAACGACAAAAACTGATGAAGGAAGATTGTCAGCCGATTGCATCAGAAAATGAAAATGAAGAAGCTCGTCTTTAGTCTGCTAAATTATTGTGTAATGTAAAAGAACACTAAAATTACTTAAGTTTGAAACCAAGTTCGAACATTTCAAGGTTTAAATAAAGTATCGGGACAGTTTTTTTAAATTTAAAACAGGGTTGCATCGGGTTTAGAGTTTATTTCTTTTGCGATGCAAAATAAGAAACACTAGGCTAATCTTATTCTTGCGACATTTTAAATTTGTATTGCCAAAGAAATTACAGCTAAATTAAACAATTAAAACAGTACAAAACGAAAATTGTCCAAAGAAACATAATTAAATTAAAAACATGCGTTTCTCTTTGCCTCTCTCGCACTGGAACTCTTTTTAACAAGTTTATTTAGTCTCCCTCGCTGCGCACGCGGGTCTCTCTCTCGAAATTAAACATCAGGGTAAAAACACATCATACAGCTGATAATACTGTATATGTCGCTGCGTGTCAGCCATACAAATCACGAAAAAATTATTTAGCATTTAATTGTTGCTTCAAAGACACAGCATGCCTTGTTGAATTCACCTTACAATAACTTCAATTGAAATTTTGTGTGAAAAAAACTTTAAATAGGCTACAATAAATAAACTACAATATTTATAATTTAATAAGATATGGGGCCTACTACATTTGGACAGATTTATCCTTACAATAATTTTGCCTGCTCATCAGCCTGGCTATCCAACACTCTCCATATGAAAGAGGAACATTAACACCTTTGTCCAGCAACTGTCCCTCCAACCCCCCACAGGCTATCGGAGTCTGAGGCTGACTTAACACAAAGAGAAGTCGCAATTCACACTTAAATCGCTATTCTAGACAGTGTTGATAATGAAGGAATTAAATGATTTAAGTTACATGTAGCCTAGTGATATTTCTGTCATAAAAGTTTATTACTAAATATTTCATTATTTCAATAATTGATTAAATAAAACTGGTTTGGGACAGCTTTTTCCAAGCAAAACTAAATATAATATGAAAAAACGCTTGTTAATTTGTTGTCATGAACAAAATGTTCAACTCAATATTAAAGTCTACAGGGATCTTTGGATCCTTACAACCAGGCATGCAATTTGTGAATTAAGTTTTTATTTTATTTTGTATTATTCAAATAAACATCGA